CCGTTCTTCCAGTTTGTCCCTGGGATAGTATTGCAGGTAGGCCACACCCCTGAGGAAACTCCCCCTAGGCCGACTGGCCGCTTAGAACGCAGTCATGTGATCCATCATGGGAACCACCACTCACAACTGGAGTCCAGCCAAGTTGACACATCTTCAACTATCACACACGTACTCTAATCTACTGAGTAACGGTAAAAGCTAAATTTTTCCATCAAATAATTTTATGAAGGGAATCTTAAGTATGTTATCTTCTTCCATCAAACTACTACAATAGAAGAGAAATCCCAGAAATAGGTCCAAGTATACATGATGCTTTGGTATATTGATAAAAGTACTATTTCAAATTAATAGGAGAACAGAATCATTCAATAAATCCCAAAAGAATTAAAGACTTAACTATACAAAACTAAATCATAATACTAATAGACCAATTATATATACTATAATGCTAGTAGACCAATTACAATACTAGTATACCAATAATAAACTAGTAGACCAATTATATATTGAATAAGGGGAAGGAATTTCTAAGCATGACACAAAAGGAAGAAACGATAACTGAAAAGATAAAAGAAAGAAGTTTTAATTATGTCCAGAAAACAACATAATCAAAATTAAATGACAAAGGATAAAATAAGAAACAAAGTTTACAATCTATGAAAACTGCTTTCCCTTAATCTTAAAAAAAACCTTCTAAAATAGCAATAAGGAATAAATATCTCAGTAGAATATTGAAAAACAGAAACAGTCAAGACATAATAGATATAAATACAAATCACCAATATAAATATGAAAAAAAAATCCACTCAAACCCATCAATAATTAAAATGCTCACTAAAAATAACAAAAACATTGTGTTGTATATTAATTAAATTAGCAGAGCCTTTTCAAAAAAATTAGAAAACCCAGTATTGGAAATATTTGAAGAAATTAATATATTCATGCACAGCTAGTAAGAGTATAAAATGGTATATTTCTGGAAAATATCTGGAATACGTTTACCTTTAAAGAACATAGCCTTTAATATAGCAATTCCACTTCAGGGAACTTATCCTGAAGAAAAACATTGACTTGGGGGGAGGGTTGTTGTTGTTGTTATGTGCCATTAAGTTAGACTCGACTCATAGCGACCCCTCCTGGGTTTCCGAGGCAGTATCACTACAGAAATAGATTGCCCCATCTTCCTTCCAAGGAGTGGCTGGTGGGTTTGAATCGCCAGCCTTCTGATTAGCAGTCAAGTGCCTTAGGCACTATGCTACCAGAGCTCCCGACTTGGGTGGGAGAGTGGAGCAAAAAAGAATTATATAGATATTCACTATCAGCACTGCTGATTTACAAATAAATTATTGTACAACATTAATATAATGTTGTAGAAAAATACTGAATGACACAGAAAAGTATTTACAATTTATTGTTAATTTGGTATGTATTCTTCTAGTCGATGTTTTCTGAGTTTGCTCTCTGTATCTATTTATCACCTCTCAATCCCGTGTATATAAACACTATATGTATATAAATGGACCATGATTTAGTTACCAATCTCTTACTGATACTAACTAGGATGTTTTTTATTTCTTTTCCAGTTTTTCTTTTTAAAGTTTTCATTTTTACCAGAGATATATACACATATATACTGAAGAGCCAATTCTTGTATAATTCATATTGAGAAAATAAAGCATACTTGTACACAACATCTTCATTGCTCGAGGTAAGCACTTTTGCCTTTTTTAGCTGATTATTTAGTTACTTGCTCTGGGTCTTTAAATAATGTCTTGGTAATGTTACTTCTTGATTTTTCCATTTTAGGCATTAACTATTAAAGACTTGAGGTTTATTCTCTAGATAGAGTAAAACACAGCATTTCAGGACTCATGGTCCATTTATCTAATGGAATATGCTAATAAACTGCAATCTAAATGAATCAATACAGATGAATCTCAAAAAAATTTTGAGTGAACAATGCAAATAGCCTACTCATAGGTACAACCCTATAGTATTTATGGGAATTCATTAAGACTACAAAATGACACTCTATATATAGTGTTTATATATATATGAGATTGAGAGATGATAAACAGAAAAATATAGACAATAAAAGCAGAAAACATCAACTGGAAGAATACATACCAAATTTGTGACCATGGCTGCCTCTATGAAGAAAGAAGGGAGAAGTGACAGGAGAGGACAAACAAGAGTGTTTCAAGTTTATCGAATATTGATTTGAGTGAAGAGAAGGGCAATGTACCAAATGTGAGTGACCAATATGGCAGCATTGAGGATGAGAAAGACATAGAGAGGTACATGGGAAGTACAGACAACAAACATGAACCCTTCTGCATATACAGTACTGAGTTGTCAGTGAAGGCAAACATGGGTATATGGATGGATAGATAGGTGGACAAACTAAACGATTAGGTATGTCTATGAAATGCGGAGTGTATTCAAGATCATATATAGGGTTGGCAGACAATGGTCCTATAAGTTTATGTGAATGACCAGAATTCCCAGGTATACAGTAGAGCTGACAAGGGGCAAGGTTGTGGTCACTGTTTGGTCACAGCCAACTACCCAGAGGGACCGAGTAGTTGAACCTGCAGGCTTGGGACCATAGTCGCAGGGGACATCAAGCTCAACTGGCATAACATACTATACAAAACATTGTTCCACCTCCTACTTTGGCGAGTTGCGACTGGGATCTTAAAAGCTAGCAAGCTGCCATCTAGATGCAACAATGGGTCTCTCCTCGTCAAGAGCAAAGAAAGAAAGAAGAAAACCAAAATTAATGGAAACAATCAGTCATAGAGACTGGTACACCATCCAATCTGCAGCCTATACAACTATGAGACCAGAAGAACTAGATGGTGCCTGGCTACCACTGTCCTCCGCTTGGAAGGGATGTAGGAGATCCTTGATAGAGAGGGAGAACAATGTGGAACAAAACTCAAAATCATTTGGAGAAAAAAGAAAAAAAAAGAAGGTGAGGACCAGGTTTGCTGGTCCAATAGAGCCTGGTGGAACCACTGAGACTATGGCCCCTAGCTGCCCTTCAGTTCTGGATTTGAACCCACACCTGTCGTTTCCAGCCAAACAATGTACAGGCATGTGAGTTAAACATTTACCTCAAGTAGACACACGCCCTGGAGAGAACAATCATGGGAGAAGGAAGGGCTGCTTATGCACAGGGAGACAGCTCAGGGCGCAGGAGAGTATGGAGGGATGGTCACTGGGAAGAGGTAACTATGGGAGAAAGTGGGAGGGGAGCTGTTGCACTGTGGTAAACTGTGGTCAATGACACAAGACAAAGTATATGTGAACTGCTGTATGGAAAGTGAATTTGCTCTGTAAATCTTCACCCAAATCACAATAAAAAAAAAAAAAAGTGTTTCAAGTTTATCAACAATGTTTTGTTTTCTTAAAAAACGAAGGCAAAATAGAAATAAATTAACAGCAATAAATTATAAATATTAATTATCTTACTTGAGCCAAAGATGACTTGACACTGAGCATCATAATATTGGCACATGCCATTGTAACAATAGGCTTTGTTATTCTGGCAAGGATATCCATTCTGAATAAAAACATCTGGCTGACAGAACTGAGAAGAGCCATTGCAATACTCAGGAACATCACATTCACTGCTTTTTCCTCGGCATAAAGTCCCTCCTGGAAGGAACTAAGTAATAAATTTAAAATTAAACAGGACTATCATAACAATTTCAATAAACTAATCAAATTTAAAACCAGTGTACATATACATTTATATCCACAAAGTGTTCTAGAAACAACAAAAGGTTAAATAATCCAATAGAAAAATGAACAAAGGCTAAGAGGTAATTCATAAAAGTCATAAAACATGAAATTTTGTAGAAAAACACCTCATTGGTAACCAAAAGAAATGAAAATTAAATTAAAAACACAAGACTGAAAAACACCTATCAAATTAACCAACACTACAAAGCTTGCTAGCAACCAATGTTGACATGAGGAAATAAGCCTTTGTTTACATTGTTAGTAGAAGTATAGACTGGCATATTTGTGAATGGTATATGAAATATGTATCAAAAATGTTAATATGCATACTCCTTCAAAAATTCCATTTATAAACAAAAACTGGAAGCAGTCTATAAGTCCATCATTAGCTGATTACATAAAGAAATTATGGTATAGCCATATGGAAAAACACTAATTATATAATCATATAAAACTACATGAATAGAAAAATGTCCATAGTGTCCTACTGACAAAAGCAGAAAATAAAAATGTGTGTATTTACCCACTCATACACATACACACACATACAACATACTCTTTCACATAAAGATCTTTCAGTTTCTGCTTTTTACACCTGCTTTTGCATCTATTATTTATATTGACCATATATTATTCTTACAATCAAAAGTCACGTTTCCACATAGAAAAAAAATCTCAATAAATTATGTATCATAAAAGAATGCTGCCAATTTCCAAATACATGGCATAAAATTTTTCTCATAATCATAAAACAAAAACTGCTCTCTTAGAGATCTCAAAAAAAAAAAAAAATCTGACATTTACATTTTTTTTCTTTTTCCTATTTTTAATTCCTAATGGGGAGGAACTCCTTACCAAACAGTTTTTACAACAGTCACCATATGCACATTCAGCACCTGATTGAAGCTTACAAGTGCGTGCTTCACAACAAGGGTCCAATTCACATTCCTACAAATAGAAAATGACTGTCAATAAAGAAATAAGTTATTGACATCAATATTAATTAACAACATTCTTATTTCATATCTAAAATCTACTTCTTTTTAACCTAGCTATAGTAAATATTCACTCCTCAAAAGAAGGTTGGGCAATCTACTTCCATAGTGATAGTGCCTTGGAAACCCAAGGAGTCGCTATGAGTTGAGTCCAACTCCACGGCACATAACAATAACAACATAGTAAATATTCTCCATATAAAATCACCAGCTATCTCAGTGGATTTATCAAAGACTCTTTTAGCTACAACTATTCAGGTCTCAACATATTTCAAAAGATCCAAAGCCAACGCCGCCAACTTTGATTCGGACACAAGGAGCAGAACTACCCCCACAGGGTTTCTAAGCCTGTAAATCTTTTCAGAAACAGATTGCATCTTTCTCCCACAGAGCAGCTTGTGGGTTGGAACCAATGACCGTTTGATTAGCAGCTGAATGCCTTAACCACTGCACAGAAGAGCTCCTTGAATGATAAGAAACATTCCACATATCAAAATTTGCTGGACACAGCTAATATAATAATTACAAGGCAATTTATTGCTCTAATGCATACATCAAGAAACAGGAAAGGCTGAATAGAAGTCAAAAATCAATCTCAAAAAGTTAGAAAAATCAAAAACAAATTAAACCAGACAATATAAATCAAAAGTAGCAAAATAAAAATTAAAAAATAAATAAATAAGTCCATAAAAGAAAAATAGGAGCAGGAACAAATAACACAGAAAACAGCAACAGAGAGGAAAAAAAAATCAACAAAGTAAAATGTTGATTCTTCAAAACTACTACTAATAAAACTGCCAAATTACTGGTGAAATCAGTAAACATAAAAAACATAAAAGGCAGGCTTGGAACTGAACCCTGGGGATTACTTTTCAGATGTACAATAGACAGGCTATCAAGTGAATAATTACACAGGGAGGAACCTACTCCTCAGTACAATCAACCAAGACCAAAAGAGTAACAACTGCCCAAAATCACAGTTCAGGAGGCAGGAAAGGGCCAGAAAGTACAAATGGAAGAGGGGAACTCAGGGAAGAAGTGGCAAGAGCACTATTACATTGAGGGGATTTCAACCAATGTCAAGAAACAAAATGTGTACAAACTGTTAAATGGAAAACTAATGCGCTCTGTAAAATTTCATCCAAACTACAATAAAAAGTAAAATAAAATAAAAGATATAAATAATCAATAACAGGAATGAATAAAAGGAAATCAGTACAGATGCTGTAGCTATTATAAATTAGTAAGTTATTTGAAAATTTAATGAAAACAGGTGAATTCCTAGAAAAATGACATATTAACACTGACTCAATAGAAAACGGAAAAACAAGAGTTAAAAAAATTAAAGAAATTTTATCAATAGTAAACAATTTTCCCAAATCACAGTTTTTCTACAATCACACAATTTACTTAACATACAAAAAAGAAAATAAAATGAATCTTACAACAAACTCTTCTAAAGAACTGAAAACACAGATCACTCCCCAAAGTTCATTTTATGTGGCTAGCCTAAACAAGTTAAGACAGTACAAGAAAAGAGAAATACAGGCCAAATTATTCATAATCATCAACATTAAGTCACATCTGGCAATATCAAGAACGAACTTTTCACTTAGTGTTTTCACTGAGAAGGTAAGATTAGTTGGCCATGCAAATTTCAGTAAGTGTAATCCACTATGCTAACTCAGTAAAGAAGAAAATCTTATGACTAACTCAACAGATTCAGAAAAAGCTATTAATGAAACTGGACTTACACACATTTTTTAAAATCTTAGCACAATAGGAATACAAAAAAAAATTTCTTTACTCCGGTTAAGTGCCATCTCCCAAACACTGATGCACTGAAACACTGAAAGCTTTCCCTTTGGGATAAGGATACTTCTCTATCACCACTTCTGATCAACACTGTACCAAAAATACAACGCAAAAATAGAACTAAAAAAATAAAGTTTTAAAGATGAGAAAGGAAGAAAAATTTTAAAAAAACAAAAAACTGGTATTATTGTAGATGATAAGATCATATAGAAAGAAAACCCAAAAAGAGTTATATGTAAGAATTAATAAAATTGCAGTCTTCAAAAATCAACTGGATCAAAGGACTTTGCCAACACCATAAAGAAACCACTTACAAAAAGGGAGAAAACATTTGGGAGCCAATATATCATATAAGGGTTTAATATCCAAAACATATAAAGGACTCCTACAACTTAACAAAAAAAAAAAAAGAAGAAGATAAGCAACCTAATCAAAAAATGGGGAAAGGACTTGAATAACATTTCATCAAAGATATACAAATGGTCAAGAGCACCTGAAAAGACGCTCAATGTCATTAGTCATTCCAAAAAAAACCAAACCAACTGACACAGAAAACAACAATAGAGAGGGAAAACAAAAGGCAACAAAGTAAAATGTTGATTCTTCTAAATTGCTATTAATAAAACTGCCAAATCACTGGTGAAATTAATAAACATTAAAAACATAAAAGGCAGGCTTAGAACTGAATCCTGGGGATCACTTTTCAGATGTACAATAGACAGGCCTATCAAGTGAATAATTTACACAGGGAGGAATGTACTCTTCAGTACAATCAACCAAGACGAAAAGGGCAACAATTGCCCAAAAAGAAAGTTCAGGAGGCAGGAAGGGGCCAGAAAGGACAAATGGAAAAGGGAACTCAGGAGGGGAGGGGAGGAAACACTGTTAGATAGGTAGCAATAAGTATTGATTTGGGTGAAGAGAAGGACAATGTACCAAATGTGAGTGATCAACTTGGTGGCACTGAGGAAGAGGAAGACATAGAGAGGTACATGGGAGTACAGACAACAAAGATGAACCCTTCTGCACATACAGTACTGCATTGTCAGTGAAGGCAAACATGTTTATACAGGTGGACTGATGGGTGGACAGGCTGAACTATTAGGTATGTCTATGAAGTGGGGAGTGTACCCAAGACCATGCATAGGTTTGGCAGACAATGGTCCTATTAAGTGTATTTGTATGTTCTGTAAGAATTCCCAGGTATATAATAAAGCTGACAAGGCACAAGGTTGTAATCACTTCCTGGTCACAGACAGCTACCCAGAGGGACTGAGTAGTTGAACCTGTGGGCTCGGGACTATAGTCACAGGGGACATCAAGCTCAAGTGGCATAACATACTACACAAAACATTGTTCCACCTCCTACTTCAGCAAGTAGTGACTGGGATCTTAAAAGCTTGCAAGCAGCCATCTAGATGCAACGAAGGGTCTCTCCTCATCCAGAGCAAAGAAGAATGAAGAAAATCAAAGATGCATGGAAACAATTAGTCCTAGCGACTGATACACCAAGCAATCCACAGTCTATATGACTATGAGACCAGAAGAACTAGATGGTGCCCGGTTACCACGGTCAACCACTCGGAGGGGGATTTATGGAGGAGATCATGGATAGAGAGGGAGAACAATGTGGAACAAAACTCAAGATCATTTTGGAGGAAAAAAAAAAAAAAAGGCAGGACTAGGTTTGCTGGTCTGCTAGAACCTGGTGGAACCACTGAGACTATGGCCCTTAGCTGCCCTTCAGGTTTGGAATTGAACCTGTGGCTTCCAGCCAAACAAAAGACAGGCATATGAGTCAAACATTTGCCTAAGGTGGATACATTACTTGGAGAGATCAATCATGGGAAAAAGAAGGGCTGTTTATGCACAGGGAGACATCTCAGGGGGCAGGAGTGCATGGAGGGATGGACACAGGTAAGAGGTAACTATCAGGAGGAAGTAGGAGGGAAGCTGTTGCATTGGGGTAAATTGTAGTCAATGTCATGAGACAAAGTTTATGTGAACTGCTGTATGGAAAGTGAATTTGCTCTGTAAATTTTCACCCAAATCACAATTTTAAAAAAATTTAAAAATGTACCGCCATCGATCAATCCCAACTCACAGTGACCCCCACTGGGTTTCCCAGGCGGTAACTCTGTATGAACGTAGATTAGCTGGTCTTCCTTCCACAGAGTAGCTGCTGGGTTTCAAGCACCAGCCTTCTGCTTAGCAGTCAAATAATGCCATAGGCGCTGTGCCATCAGAACTCCTTGTCATTAGTCATTACGGAAATGTAAATCAAAACCACAATGAAATACCACTTTACCCCCACTAGGATGGCTATTATCAGAAAGACAAAAATTAACAAATGTTGGTGAGGATGTGGATAAATTGGAACCCTCATCCTCTGCTAGTGAGATTGTAAAATTGGGCAGCCATTGTGAAACTTGTTAAACAAAGACTACCCAGCAATTCCACTCATAAGATCTACTTAAAAGACTTTGCAGGGACTCAAACAGATATTTGTACAGCAGTGTTCACTGAAGCATTACTCATAATAACCAAAAGGAGGAAATAATCTACATGCCCATAAACAGATGAATGGATAAATGAAATGTCATATATACTATGAGAGTTGGAGCTGTGTGTCAACTTGGCTGGACCACAATTCTGTGTGGTTTAAGCAGTTGTGATGTGGTTATTCCCATAATGGGCTCAGCTGTATATGTTCTGAGCAGCCAATCCACTGAAAGGGAGTTTCCATAGGGGTGTGGCCTGCTTCTAGTATGTTTATGGACATCCTAGGAAAAGAGACACGCTTCTGTGGATCGGGATTCTGTTGTGGCTGCCTACAACTGTCTGTAAGCGAACAATCCATCATCTGCCCAGGAGATCTTGGATTCTTCATTCACTGGCGTCAACAGCCAGTGTACTGCCTGCCAACCTTGAGCTCCTCAGGCCCTGCACCTGCATGAGTTGGGAAAAGCCTCCAGCTTGACATTTGATCCAAGAACTTTGGACTTGCCAGCTTCTATAAGTGTGTGAGCCATTT